CCATTGCTATTCAAAGAGATGAGTTCCAGCACCTCTTTTTCTAGAAAAATGGCACTGCTCTGAAGGCATAGCACTTAGAGGCTTTCTGTTGAATAAAGAGGTATACGAATTTTGTTAAAGAAAATAAAGGGTTGGTGGACGATCTCTTGTTGGATGTCTTCAAGCGCAAGCTTGATAGCTATTGGAGATGCTCCAACTCTGGAGTTCCTGGGCGGAAAATATAATAATAATAATAATAATAATAATAATAATAATAATATACCGCCTATCTGGCTGGGTTTCCCCAGCCACACTAGGCAGCTCCCAACAGAATATTAAAAACACAATAGAACATCAAACATTAAAAACTTCCTTAAACGGGGCTGCATTCAGATGTCTTCTAAAAGTCAGATATTTCCTTGACATCTGATGGGAGGGCATTCCACAGGGAGGGCACCACTACCGAGAAGGTCCTCTGCCTGGTTCCCAGTAACCTCACTTCTTGAAGTGAGGGAACCACCAGAAGGCTGGACCTCAGTGTCCAGGCTGAACGATGGGGGTGGAGATGCTCCTTCAGGCCACCAGTGCCCTCTCCAAACTATGTGATTCTATGCACTCTTACTAACATGATGTGCAAGGAGGCTCTCATGTGGAACAATGAAAGACACTGTTGCAGGTTTCTAGCCTGGCAATAGGTTTGTGGTAGCTGTGCTCCTCTTGCGGGACCACCTCACTGCTTTGAGGTATTTGAGTATGCTACTGAAAACTAGTTGCTGAGGAGCAGAAATGGGAGAGGGTTCCTGCCTTCTGGCCCTGCTTGCAGGCTAGCCAGAGGCACCTGATTGGTCCCTGTGGAAAAGAGGATTCTGGACTAGATGGATCACTGGGCAGATTCAACAGGGCTCTACTTGTGTCCTCAGGCTGATGCTTCTATTATTTTTGGCTTTAAATGTGTGCATGTGAAAGGTTTCACTTCTCTGTGTGCTGCCTTGAATACTGCTTTGAACACATTTCCCTGCCCTTTGTTTATTGACTAGGCTGATGCAGAGTTCTGAAGCATTCAAAAGCTGGTACCCTATGTTGTATCATTTGGATTGGCCTAATAAATGTATCAGCCTAATGTGGTTTTTATTTTTATTTTTTCCCATATTGGCCAACACCATTTGCCTTTGTGTAACTGTGAAAGAAGCAAATGTAGCAGCCGAAAACTGGGACCCTAAACTGGAGCAGGAAAAGAACAGAACGTTATTCTCCAAAAGAACATACTCTCCGAACGCTAGCAAAAGCTACTCAGTTATTTTTACCTGGCACACCACCAGGTTCATTTTTGTTAATATAAAGACTGCCCAATTTCTCGTTATTCCTGCTTTTTGCCCATCAGGGAACCTGTGTGCTTCACTTAAGGGTGGAGACAGACTTTGCTAGTACAGCTGGCCTTGCTTTTTCCACAGAAGGGAGCCGGCAGTGTTTCTTCTGTTCCTTTTCAGTTGAGGGTTTCAAACAAAAGTACACGCGAGAGGAAAGAGTGAAGTAATGAAACCCAGAATTCTTTCAAGTTCAGGGAAAGGCATTTCAAAACCATTAGTAATTGACCTGACAACTCCCTCTGCAGTCTTTCTGACCATGCTGTTATGAAGCAGTGACGTAAAAGCATACAAACTCATTGCAGTTTTATAAATAGGCTGCGAGGTGTAGGAAAAAGTTGGTCTATCTGAGATTTATGTAACACTGTGTGAAATGGGCACATGGGCAAAACTGCCTACAGACACAATTCCTTCCAGTAGTAAAAATAAAGACATTTTATTCCCCTGTCCTATATGAAACTAGGAAAGAGTTGAAACAAGGAAGCACATTTTCCTGAAAGTTTGCATTCTTCTAGAAAGCCATAACCCTATACACTATGGTTACCAGATTTTTTTCAAGGAATCCGGGGACACTTAAAAAATAATGATGATGCTTTATTATTTTAGGAAAGAGTTGCCCAGAGTTCTTGACCTTTTTTAGAGGGGGGAAGCCCAAAGTTGTCGGGCGTGCACCTTGACACAAGGCAGGCGGAGAAGCCCACCTACAAACACACAAACACCCCAAAAAAAACCAGGTGGGAAGGGGAGAGAGAGATCGAGAAAAGGCACTCGCTGATCTTGGGGAAACACGCATTAAAACACACACACAAGGCTCCGTCTCTCTCTCTGTCTCACAACGCAGCACAACTCTTCTCCTCTTTTTCACCGCCTCAGCGCCTCGCTTGCCCCCCCCCTCCCAACTTGGGTGCACACAGCCCATAGCAGAAAAGCGCCGCGGGATCTTCTGCACAATTTCAGGGCGAGAGTTGATCAAGGAAGCGAGCCAGAAGGAAGCTCTCTGGCTCACGCCTCAGTTTAAATAGCACCCCCCCGGCCAGCGGATTGGCTGGCTGGAACTTTGATGTGGCCGTCACCTCCGGTGCTGCTTGCTGCCATGGCGCCCACCGTGTTGCCTCACCGGAAGTCCCCAGGCATAAAATCAGGGGACATTAATTAAAATCCAGGGACATTCCGGGGACAGATTTTGTCTAGAGACAGATTGGTGAATATGGGGACTGTCCCCGGGAACCGGGGACATCTGGTAACCCTACTATACACACCTGGGAGGAAATCCAATTCAACTCAATGGGGCATACTTCTAAGTAGACATTCAATGGGTTGCTGTGTTACGTTTTTTCCCTGTCCCTGTATCCCCCCCCCAAAAAAAAACCCCTATCCAGCTATCGAGGCGGTTCTGGTAATTTATCCTCCAAATTATGTGGCTCCCCACCACAAGAAACACTGCCACAGCATGAGAGTGTATCAGCAATGTAGGAACACATTCACAACTCCCTTTACTTAAAGAAAGGGTGTCTGCTTGTCTTTGGTTGATATTATTGCTATAGTTAATTCTGAATATACCTGATGGTTCTCTGCTAAGAATAATATCCCTACCACCAAAATTTACTTTCAGTGGGACTTACTTCCTAGTAGCTGTTCATAAGATTGAAACCTTAGTAAACTGTACCACACCAACTCTTTAATATTGTTGCAAACATCTGGAAAGGTCATCCATTTATCTCCTTAAATGACCAATGAAACACACATTGTCCACCCTGACTTTTTCTCAGGGCAAGATAAATTTACATAAAAGATATTACAAAATCTAATCTGATACAAAGCTGTCATGGTGAGCAAATATCAGATACCTGAAAGCAACTGCTGATTCAGATTATTCTTTCTAAACACCTCTCAGCAAGTGAGGAAACATATAAATTCATCTTCAGAGAATGACTGCAGTGAATTTGTTACACAAACACAACCATCTAAAGTGAAGGACCTACAAAATGTATTAGAGTGTAAAGATGCGATGATATCCTTTTTCCTATTTCCAAGATATTAAAATTATTCTCATCCAAGGTGTGTGTATGTCTTTTGTTTAATATCTTATCTTCCAGACATGGTCTGGGACATAGTTCAATAACAAACCTTCTGTTCCATTTAGACCAGTTACTTAAAATAGGTTTTATAGAGAAACAGATTCCTCGGTATTATTCATGTTTATTCTGGATTTCACATTCAACCAGAATAACTGAATAAATGCATTTTTAGTAAGAAAACACCGGCAAGCACATTTGATGTCTTCCCATATGGTTTGTAAATCAGTGTTCTTGCACACATGCATACTCCCACTGCTGCTCTTACATGGAGCATATTTTGTTAAAATAATCCTTCCCCCAACTCTGGCTCAATGGAAATCTCCAATATATAAGCCTGCTACAGAATGACTTTAGGCACCACAGGAACGCTGTCAAAAAAGTGAGGCATAATTCAGTCAGTGGCGAAGGAACCCTCTCTGGCACCCAGGGTGGGACGCCGAGGGGTGGGACAAACTGCCCAGTGGTGCACGCACAACGTCTATACGGATTGCGCACACGCATTCCGTACGGACTGTGCATGTGTGGCATCCTGTACAGAGTGTGCATGTGCAGCAGCCCACTGCTCACATGGCGACCGTAATGGCTGCCACGCGTGTGCACTTGGTATGGGCTGCCGCTCACGCACCGTTTGTACGGGCTGCCGTGCGAGCGGCATCCCATATGGACTGCGCATGTGTGGCAGCCTGTATCTAGTGCGCACACGCAGCAGCCCATATGGACAGCATGCGAGAGTGGCAGCTTGTTTGGACGCCACGCGAGTGGCACCCATACTGACTGGGTGCACCCTCGGACGCTCTACACCTGGGCAGAGGCAGGGGTCATCTTGTCACACACCCCAGAGTGGCAACCGGGGCGGACCGCCGCCTCCGCCCCCCACTTTGTACGCCCCTGAATTCAGTATCAGCAAATAAAACTTGTCTTCTCACCCGGACGGTCATCTAGTAGTCCAACCCCCACAATGCAGGAATCTAAGAGAAAAATGGAAAATTCAGAGTCATATTTATCCATTCCATTTTCTCTGTCCATTACTGAATTACATAGTTCAGTAGACTCATACCAGACCAGTACTGCTAAATAAACCTGGTGTAGTTTTTGATATTATTTCATTGTTTCCATGATTAATGCTAGCACCACATGTAAATATGAAACCATAGTATGTACAGTTTGAAGAAAAGAAGTCAGGAAAACAAAGATTCCCTCTCCCTGTGCATATGGTCACAGGAATAAGCAATATAAAGAGACTTTTGATTTTATTTTTCTGCAAAGCAGCCTCTGGTGCATTGAATTCCCCTTCTTTCATTTGCCGAAAGGAATTTTTGAGTTAGCTGCACAGGATCTATTAGAGGTCAGAGTTTTATTCTGGCTCCTTTCCTGTCCATCAATCACAGGTACGATCCCTCTATGCACAACCAAGGAACACCAGGTAAAATTCATGATCACAGATGTGCAGTTTGCATCGTAATAGACTAGCAAATAAATAAAACGAAACAGTACGGATGCTGCCATACAGCTGTGGTGCCATCTGAAAAACCCAGCTGTCTAGCAATGGAGTGGCTACCATTTTGGTCCAGAATACTAAGTCCAGCATGGCTCAGTCGCTATGGCATAAGACCCTTAATCTCAGGGTTGTGTGTTTGAGCCCCACGTTGGGCAAAAGATTCCTGCATTATAGGGGATTCTCCAAGATGAGCCTTCCAGCTCTGTAATTCTACAGCACAGTATTTTATGCCCCAGACAAGTAGGGGAAAGAGAGAATGAGGAAATTTGATCACAGACTTCCCGCATGCTGCCTGCTTTGGCTCTGTGTCTAAGGTTGTGCTTTCCTTCTTCTACATTTCTCCCTTTGCTGCTATTGACAAAATTAATGATACGTTCTGTTAACCTAAACCACACCGAAGTTGCTCCCTCTCTAACGGTCCAAGGCAATTGAGGTCAGGGGAGCTGCACTGGGTATTGCCTAAGAAGGTATTTTGTATGACACAACCACCTTGGCTCTAGTATTATGGCTCAAAGTTTCGCTGTAGATCAGTGATGGCCAAACTTGGCCCTCCAGCTGTTTTGGGACTACAACTCCCATCATCCCTAGCTAACAGGACCAGTGGTCAGGGATGATGGGAACTGTAGTCCCAAAACAGCTGGAGGGCCAAGTTTGGCCATCACTGCTGTAGATGAACCTGGCAGGACCTCTGCCCTGACTACTTCTCAGATGTTTCAAAACAACCTACCCTTTTCCTTGACTTGCAAAAGGCAGCAATTTAAAAAGTACATGCCCAGCCATTTGACAGTGTGCAGGCTGCTACAGCACAACATGTTTATTTAGGACGATATTACTCTTTAATAGAAGAATTGTGAAGGAGTTCGATAAGCCCTTCCAAGTCAGTGGTTTAAACAAACACAGCACCCCTTCTCCTGTTCCTCCGTGTCCTTAGCTGATATTTCCATTCAACCCTTGCCTTAGTGTTCTTCACTTTGAGGTTCCAGCAAAGGAATTTGCTTCTGCAATTTTTTACTTGCATCAATTAATGGTTCAGATTGTTAAAAAATCAATTTTCCTAAAACAGGAATGGAGCCTAGAATTTTCATTCATGAAGTTATGCATCTTTCTTGATAAAAGAGGCCAGTTCTAAGAAATCCAATTTAGAACTCGAGACATTAAGAGATTGCCATGGGTTATAAGATAATAATGATATTGCTAAGAAGGATGGGGAGGAACTTCCCTATTAATCTTCCTGCCCTATCTGTAGAAGTGAAACACATTTTGAACTATTTAGCTTGGCTTTTAAGAGCTTTCCTGAAATAAGAGGAAATGTCTTTCTAAATATTTCAATTTTCAGGATGGATAATTGTTAGCTACATAATGGGAAGAGAAAGAAAGCTACAATCAAAGCTGCAATTTGAACAAAGCAGGAATTTGTTTTTGGACATCTCCCCTTCTTACCAATATCCTAACTATATCCTATAGACTTGCAAGTAATTTACAATTATATTTGAGGTCTGGGTCTCATGATACTCCCATACTTGGTAAAATCAAAATGAGGTTGTTTCCTAACCCAGTTTTTCTCATTTCATTTCAGTACATGCAATCCCTCACATGAGATTTATTATAACAGTGCAACTGCTAAGACCTGCCTGCCAAGGGCTCTCTGGCATCAGGCAGTAATATTTTGTGTGCGTGTGTTTTTGTGTTTTTTGCTGGGCATTTCGACAGTTTCAGTAGTCCTGCTTTGAGTGGATGTTGTCAGTGCTCATTATTGTGCTCAGTTGGGGTGGATATTTTTGTTTTTGGTGAATTTGGATGAACCATTTTAGGATATTTGTTTTGTATTTCAATTTTTTTATTAATTCATACTTTGTTGTTCTTGTAAATCACCTTGGGATTCCTTTCTGTGACACAATAAATAGGCTTAAGTAAGCTCAGCCACAAGTGACATGGGTGGTGCTGTGGTGTAAACCACTGAGCCTAGGGCTTGCCGATCAGAAGGTCGGTGGTTCAAATCCCCGTGACGGGATGATCCTGTTGTTCGGTCCCAGCTCCTGCCAACCTAGCAGTTCGAAAGCACATCAAAGTGCAAGTAGATAAATAGGTGCCACTCTGGCGGGAAAGTAAATGGTGTTTCCATGCGCTGCTCTGGTTTCGCCAGAAGCAGCTTAGTCATGCTGGCCACATGACACGGAAAAACTGTCTGCTGACAAACGTCAGCTCCCTCAGCCAGTAAAGCGAGATGAGCGCCGCAACCCAAGTCGTTCGCAACTGGACTTAACTGTCAGGGGTCCTTTACCTTTTTTAAGCTCAGCCACACAATAAATACCAGTTTAAGCCATGGAAGAACCTTGACAATGAAATATCCTGCACAAATAAGCTAATTGTTATGGAAGCCTTGTATTGTCCGATATAAAGATAGCCCTGGTCGATTCCAAAAACCTACGTGAGGAGTCCCACTAAGCTCCCACTAAGCTATAAATGCCTCCACTGTTGATCACATACATATCACATTTAAAGAACTCACTCTCTGAAATTTGTTAGGAGACCTCTCACACAGCTACAATTCCCAGCATCCTTAACATACAGCTCACAGGATTATTTGAGGCAAGTCATGACTCTTAAAGTGGTGTAAGAGTGCTTTAAACATTGTGACCAGAAATACTCTATTGAACACAGCTAACGTCAAGATGAAAGGCTATATCATCTTGCCAATTAGTCTGGAGTCTTTTACATTTCTGAGGCTAGTATTTATTAATGTGCTACTACAGTGCTGAAAAATTTCCATGATTCACTCTTTCAGTACCACTTTTCCAAGTTTTCCTACTTTCTGGCTTTTACCCTTTTAGATTTGCCACAAACTTCTCCTAAAATGCTATTTCTGGTTTTGGTTTATTGAAAAAAGCTGAAGCAGAGCACTTTCTTGAATGAGTTTCTACTTCTGTTGCAAATGATTTCCATTTGCCTGTCAACAATACTTTAATAGCCTCATGAATGGTATTATTTCATCCCTAACCTTTCCTTGTTCATCCAGGAATCCCAGTGAGTCAAGGAAACCCTGTAAAAGCCTTACTCATCTATACAGAAATATAGCCAGACATGACTTTCTGTCCTTATTATGTGTCCTGGAACAGCATTACTCAAGAAACTAGGTTGTGGAATGAAGAAAGAAAAATTGCACAAAGCTTATCATTGGTTCTGCATGGATGTTTGCTTTTACGTAAAGTGAAAACAAAGTTTTCTGTTATTTAAATTAAGTTATAGTTTCGCTTTACAATTAAAAGTTTCATCACTGTGTGATTTCACAACAGAGCTTCAACTTAGCTACTGCTTTCAGAAGACTATGGGGAGATGATCTGGCTAAAATTGAGGGAGCTAGGCAGTGGAACTTAAGTGAGGGTCCCCTAACGCAATAATCTCACATCTGAATGCACCCTATGTTTTCTCATTGAAACAGGTGCTCCCACAATAGGAATACGTCTTTACAAAATGAATAGATGTGAACCCTATTTGAAACAGGAAGTACATGAACATGTTGTAGAACTCTCCTTCCCCTACTACCCCTTGCAAATTTCCATTACCACAACATTTAGGGGAAGTTTAGACAGATGTAGTTTACCTTCCGAATTTTTACCCTTTCAGGAATATGACACTCTACTCTCTCGAGTTGGTGGACACATTGGACACATTGGTGTCCATAGAGAACAGAAGATTTTTCTAGTCTGGAAGCCATGTTCGGGGGGCTCACATGACAATGCTTGGTTGGAGCCAAAAGCCAAAAGTGGATGAGACCATGGATGATGGAATTCATACCTACATTCCAGCCATGCAAAATCCAAATGTTTCTATAAATATGCCCCTCTCCATTTCTGAAGAAAGCAAAAGGCTTTATCTATCATGGTTCAACAACACATTTCAGCCAGGCGAAAACCATGCCGTGATCTTTGGGTGAAGTGCAATATAGAAATTCAGCAAATAAACAAACCAGTTGAAGAGCACATGTAACAAGGCCTGTGGAAGGCGCATGGCTTGGGACTGTTCTAAGGAGTGGAGAAACCAGCATTGTTATTCATATTCTGCTTCATGTAGTGTTGCTTCCAAGTACTTTTTTATCATAAGCATGTGACAAAGGGAAAGCAGGCAAGAATGAGGTATTAACAACAAACATGGAGTAGAGGAGACTTAAGTGATGGAATGAGCACAGTGAAGCTGAGATAAGCTGTTCAGTTTCCTCCTCCAAAATCATCTCATCAACTGCACTACCGTGGATACAAATGAGAGAAAGAAAGAGGATGTTTATATATTTCAGTTGGTTTGATTTGGCAGCCAGTTCTGGTTTTAAAACACTTTTGGAACTAGCTGTTTGGTTTACTAGATTTGAGAGCTGGTTTTAGCATCCATTGCTCCCATTGCTCGGTCCCAGCTCCTGCCAACCTAGGAGTTCGAAAGCACACCAAAAAAGTGCAAGTAGATAAATAGGTACCGCTCCGGTGGGAAGGTAAATGGCGTTTCCGTGCGCTGCTCTGGTTTCGGTGTTCCATTATGCCAGAAGCGGTTTAGTCATACTGGCTACATGACCCGGAAAAACTGTCTGCGGACAAATGTTGGCTCCCTCGGAGTCATCTGCAACTGGACTTAACTGCCAGGGATCCTTTACCTTTACCTTTTAGCAACATTTGACTGGCCATTTGAACTAGAGGTGGTCTGAACTGGTTGGGTTCAACGTGCATCCATGTGCAGCTATGCCCAGATGTTGTTTGGTGCAATTAAAGCTGTGTTGGCATTTCAGAGTGGTGGAAATAAAGATTTTTCTTCGCTGAAGGCAGCATACAGTCAACTTCAACTGGATGCGTAGCTCTGTGAAATCATCATATGCATTACATTATCAACAACGCCATGTTAACGGGGGAAATGACAATAAAGCATCGGCTGAACAATGCTTCCAAACAGGAATGAAAAAAATGGGGGTGTGGACTTAAAGGTAGGGCTTTTCCGGAGGGTTTTTCACAACTCTCAGAACTAAACCTTGAAAAGCACACCTATCACCTTGCATTACTGATCCCTCTTTCCCCCTCTTTTGAAATATTTAATTAGATCGGTGGCTTTAATCAGATTGCTGGCTAATCAGGTCGGTGGCATTTTTGACTAACCATCTTGAAATTTGCCAAGGGTA